ACAAACTGGCAGGAAGACAGACCAGACAGAAGTCGCCAAAAATCCTTTCCATTTGCTGGCGAAAATGTCTTCTCTCCACAATGACAGTTTGATGCCAGAAATGGCTCATAAAGATCTCGCTCTTGGGTTTTAATTTTCACCAAACATTTTCTTGCAACTCTCGCTTTATTATTATTTTCGCTAGAAAGTCTCTGTGGTATTTTTTGGAATTTTCTTCTATGACAGCTGGAGTGCTGCTGCCGTACTTTGTCTAACACCACAAAATTCCTTTTGGACATCACATATGACAGACTCATTGTCGTTCCCATTGCCATTCCCATTCCTCATTCCCACACAATTTTCCCCAGTCAGTCTGGGCCTGCAATTTATGTATTTGCTTTGTTTCATCATCTCGCCACTCATATGCATACAATTTGTGCGTGAATGAGGCCCAGTGATGCATGTCTGATGCCGCAATATGCCATGAAAGGGTGGTTTTCAGTCGGATTTTGGCTTAGAGCAACTGGATTCACACATATTTCCATCCTACTGGAGAAATGCGATTGAAAAATGCCTGATAGAGGATAAGGAATGCCAAAGTTTTGCAAGCTTAAAATTTAAATTAAGGCAAGGGAGGCTCAAATGAAAAAAGTGAATAATGAAATTTGAGAGATAAATATATTAATATTTCAGAAGTTTATTAAAATTGTTACTTGGAGATTTCAAAATAAATATAGAACTTTTATTTGGAGCTCTGGCTTGGTCTTATTGATTTATATCTATGACCTGGAAATAAGACAAAGAACTTGCTCTAAAGATTATATTATTTAAATAGACTCTTCAACCTTTACAATAAATCTTAAAAAGTTTATATTATAAAAAAGTGCAAAGGAAATTTGTAAGCAGAACAAAAATATATATATTATTAAGACAAATAAATACATTAAGCTAAATATCAACAACCGAACTCGTAAATTGACTTGGAGAAGTGCTTTGTCATTTGAAATTTAAGATAATTTTTAATGGAAAATGTATAATAGAGGGCATTTAAATTTAAAGGCATTTTAAATTCTTAAATTGGATTTTAAAATGGAAATAAAAATGATTTAAGCTGTCAGTTTAATATATGTTTAATTTAATCTTAATTTACCCATTTGTGGTACTTAAATATATACTTCTAAGCTCTCAAGATGAAGCAAAAACCTTTAAAATAAATAAAAACCTTTTAAGGACTTGATTTTCGATTTTTGCATAAACTATCTATTGCTTTATTTTACACCATATTTTCCGGTTGGGGAAAACGCAATTACCACCAATGAAAGGGTTTAAGTTGAGGGCACTCGAAAGCTCGATGCCCTGCCATAGATTTGCGGATGGCCCCTCCATCGAGGGACTTCCCCCTTGGTATATAGTAATCCGGTGCGTTCTACGCCGCTGCGTGTTTTGCATTTGCATTTGCTGTTTTCCGATTTTCCGTTTTCTGTTTTCAGTTTTCAGTTTCCAGTTTTCGGTTGTGGATTATGCAATCGTGCACCTGTCGCTGTGCGGCAGCAAAGCCCTCATAGTTACCATATCAACGCTTGTGAAATTGAGGTTATCACATGTCAGCGACACAGACTCTTTCTCTCAGGTTTATGCATTTTCCCCACCCCTTTCACCTGGTGTTTTGTATATATGTTTTGTGAGCTCCCTTTCATTCAGAGCAGCTTTAGTTTTTCGAGGAGTGAGAAAGGGCTTAAGTCTGGGTCTCGGGATGGAGCTGTTCCTGGCATAATCCACAAATTTTGTGCGTCACAAGCTGATTTTTTGTCATGGCAAAAGCATATTTTTCCACCACCCCCTCCCCCCTCCCCCCATTTCCCATTCTGTATTTTTACATCCAAATTGTGCCAAGTGGAATTGGTCAAAGAAATAAATTTCCCATGAAAAATGTTCTACAAATCATTTTCATGAAAGCAAATCTCCTTCTTCTTCTTATTCTTGGGAGGGGAAAGTATATTAATTAAAGCTAAGCTTTTGCGTGACCTCGTTCTGCCTTTCACTGATGGAGCCCACCTTTGAACCCGGGAGGAGACCCTCTGCGATTTCCTGGGGCCAAACACCTGTCAGTTGGATTTCGTTTCTGGCGGTGAAACTAACAATAATTGTAATTGAGCCTCATGATTTTTCGGGGGAGAGGAAAATATATGGAGGGTGAAGGCACTGGGAGAAATATTTGGAAGTTGATACAAAAAAATCTTTTTATTATCTTTTTATTTATTGTATGGATTGGATCCTATGATTCAATTGCAACCCGAAGTGAGTTAGTATAGTAAACATTTTACTTTTGTTATAATTTAAATATCTAAAGAAATGATAGGTTATTAAACATTGAACACAGAATAAACCAGTTGTAAGCCTCTGACCTATGCAATCTCAAATTTACCATTTTGTTAGTTTTATTTAAGAAAATCATAAGCCATAAATTTAATAAATAATTTAAGAATCTCCCACCCATATATTTTTCTTTAAATTTCCTATATTTCCTGCTAATTATAACTCAACTTTCCCTTTTATTTGTATCAGTGCCTGCTTGGCCCTGTCCTTGGCCTGGCTGTTATCCACTAATTAACCCTCAGTCGGCAGTCCTGACAGATTCCACCCACCAACCCACCTTGCTCGCATCCGCACTGGCATCCTTTTCCTCTTCCTCCTGGCCACTTTCGGTGGAGTGTTGCCAATTTAAGCCTTGCCAGGGCCAAAGCAGGCAGAACAATTTCTATATATTCCCCACTCTTCTCCCTCTCTTGCTGGGTGTGTGTGTAATCCTGTTTGTCATGTCATGTCAGTTTTAAGGATTTATTGCACCGCACAAAAATATAAATTCCAACGAGATCCAGGAACCACCTTCCCGCATCAACCGCACCAAGAAGCGGAAGAAGATATGTAGAAAAATGTATTTCCCTTTGGAGAAAATGGTGAGTGCCTGCCAGCTGGAGGGGTGAAAATCACGCACTTCCTTTAGTTTCAGGACCTCGCTTGATATCCCTGCACGTGGCCACAAGGCAGTCCTTTTTTAAGTCCTCGACTTATAGTTTTCGTATCGTTTTAGTTGGCACTTTATGGTTTCGAGAAAGGGGTAATCCTGTGTAAAAGTTAAACCTGCGGTCTCCCCTTTCGGCCGTAATGAGGCTTAGCCTTAATTTCGCTTGTAAATTAATTGAGTGGAAATGTTGACTGAGTTCCTGTTGTGGCCGCTTAACCAAATATTTGATTAATAAGATCAAGGGGTGAACATTTTTGAGGTTTTTTAGCAGCTAAAATGTAATTATTTTCTGTTGTGTTGAATTTGCTTCAATTTTAAGATACTTTTTGAATGGTTTTGAAAGACATTTTGTTAACCATTGTTATTCCCAGCTATTTTTCTCATTAAAACCTCTGTCCTCTTATGGTTCCAATTCCATTAGCCTTTCCATTCAAATCCCCTTCAAAGGACTCACCGTTCGACGAAATTCAGGCCCAGTTTGGCCAAATAGATGAAACCGTGTATGGAGGATCCCTGCAGGAACTCGATTATGAATTCCTGCACTTTGGCCAGACAGACAACGCGCCGCCTCTCCCGCTGGTTACGTCGCTCCAGGACCTCCTCTGGCTGAGGCTCTTGCTCCTCTTGATCCTTTGGCAATGACGGTGCCTGCCACAACGGCGGACGACGAAAGGAGCGTATACTCCTGGTCGTTGTCCTGCTACTGCGTCCCAGCTGATTAATGGCCACGTCCTCGTCATTAGCTTTCGCAATTGTTTTGCTGCCATTGGGATTATGCTGATGCTGATGTCTTTGCGCGGTGCCGGGAAAAATCAGAAGTCCAGGTCCCGACCTCCGTTTATCCTGTGTCCCCGGCGGTGGCGATGGTTCAAGCGATGCCGTCGAGGAGGTTAGCAGGGAGTCGGAAGTGGAAGCGGATCCATGGTTGCCATCCCAACTGGTCCTCCGAGAAGAGGATGTTGTTGTTCGCACTGCTGTCGGCGAGCTGTCGTTAATTTTCAGCTGCATTTTGTCCTTCTGCAAAAAGGATTTTCAAGTGCAAGTTTTAAGAAAATTAAATAGGTAAACTAAATGGGATGGAAAGGTGTTCAGGGTGGGTTTTTTCTCATTTAACGAAGTGAGTTGTTAGTAAAACTATGTTTACTATATATTCAAAGCAGAATCTAACATTTAATGAATATGTATCATTAAAAAATCAATCAATAAGTGGACACCTGCTACCAATGACACCACCCACTCTTCAGACACCTCAGAGTAATCCTCTGTGGATAGCACTTGCTGCTGGATCCCAAAAGTATACACACACAGACTCTGCATTACAGTGAGTGTTACACATGTGACTACAACCGACTCTCCTCCTCCCTGCACTGATTGCAGGACAAACTTCATAATTTGTCCTGCAAGCCCCCGTCGAGCATTGTACCATGGTTAAGCTCTGATTTTTTATAGCCGCACACGGCCTCTGATTCTGTTCGGTTCATTAAAATATAAATACGTCGCTTTAAGTATGTTTTTGCGGTGCGGCAGGTCGGCAGCAGGTTGCAGGTTGCAGGATGCAGGATGCAGGACACGGGACAAGGACAATAATAAATCATCATCGTTGGAGATTTTAATGCGCTGTAAATTATGCCTGATGGTGGACGCAGCAGCTCGGGCGAGAGTAAATCCATTGAATGACACGAAATGCAATCAATGTACGAGAAATGGGAAAGCTGATGACCCAGGGATCGGTGGGCTATATCCCTCAGCATCAGCATCAGCATCAGCATCATCGTCATTGTGGTCGGGCATTAACTTAGTTAAGAATTTTCATTTAAGAGTGGCACTCGGTTTTGTAAAGAGATTGCGATTAAATTGGTAATTGGATGGTCCACATATTAAGGAGATTTTCACTTCGATTGGGAAAACAAGGCTATTGTTGTCAAACACTTAATGTGTGAAGAATATATATTAAATCGGTAACTTAGTCAATTTTGGCTTAAATTTTCGATATATTCATCTAGAAGCCTTTGCTTTTGAGTTGTCAAACTTGGGTATGGAAAGGAATTAAAAGCTGCTTCCTTTGGGTTTGTTTTTCTCAGCCTCAAGTTTGTGTTAGATTTTAATTGTTTTTTTTTTTAGGAAACTTGATCAATATGAGCTCTCCGGATACCATGCTGTATCTGTGCACCCACTGCTTCCGCAGATTTCCTTGGGTCGCCCTCAGCAAGCAGGAACATCGCTGCCCCCGGTGCCGTCTTCCCATAAGAAGGTGCGCCATCTGCGATCAACGTTTTGAGCCACGTGAAAAAGAACATTTGTACTGCAAACGCTGTGACTACAATTTAATGAAACATGCTGCCGTGATGCCGCCATCAATGGTGAAAGCCACCGAGGAGGATCCTGATGGATATAGGAACCGGGACGGTGCCTCTGTCACCGAACGCTGGAAGGAGATTCAGACTGCTGCTGGCATCTATGATGAGGAGTTTTCGGACCCTTCACCTTCGCCATCACCATGAGTTGGAGTAATTATGAAAGCTATATAAATTTATTTCTAAATAAATCAATTTTCATATATTTGTAAAGATTTCTTGAATTCCAACTACTTTTGCTGCAAGATTATATATGATTTATAGGGTTGGAAATGATTACAAGCTTCTGACTAAAATTAAAATACCCTGCAAGGATATAATTATAGATATCCATTACCTTTCCGCTGCAATACCCAAAAGAAGCGATCAGTAGAGCTCAAAAAGTAGACCACAATCGAACAATCCACGGCCAATAAGGTGCCCCGGAGTGTCCCCCGGCTAGATGAGCTGGACACACATCAAAGGCTTCGCCGGAGAGTGTCCAACTGCGTCCTTAAAACTGGATTAAAATTTCATTTAAATTTGCATTTAAATGAGCGTCGAACACTCAAAGTAAATGACCCCACCAGGCAGGCGGCCGGTCTCTGGCTCTCTCTCTGTGGAATCCACTCCACAATCCAGCCAGGGACAAAGGTCCAGACGCGAACTTGTGCTTTTCCAGACTCAGACTCAGACATGGGCGGAGCAGACCCCCCTTTTTTCCTCGCTGCACATGGGCAACATTAAAACCATTCTTTTTTGTTGAATTTTTCAACATTTCGTTCTGTGCGAATGCGAATGAGAAGGCGACTTTCCCCAGCAGTTGATTACCTTTGGCAGTTGATATCGGGGGTGGAGTTAATATATATATTGGGAGTATATATATATATTTAAATGGGAGTGCAGCTTAAGCAGCCAAGTCTGCTGCTGCCACTTTTAATGGATATTGTTTAAAAATGTAATATTTTGCAATTAAATAAAGGCATTTGCACTGACCCTTGGCCTCACCCATGGCGACCTCAATTCGACTCGATTGCCAAACATTGCACATGCTTTTTATTTCTCCTCTTTATTTTGTATTTTTTTTATCTGTTAAGAATACATGTGCGTTGCTGCCTTTTGCATGTTAATTAATATTGCAGAAACGCTTAAAGGACATTTTAATTGGCCTTCACTTTGTGGGCCCTACGAATTGTTATTGGTGCAAAAGGTAAAGAAAAGAATCTGCAGGCTATGGAAACCCATTTAACTCAGGGCTTAACCAACTCTGGATGTGGCAATGGAAAATGAGAAGACAAGCATTGGGGAAAATCGAAAAATTAAAGTCCTGGCAAAGGATTAACCTAGAAAAAATGTGTCAGCCAGGTGGATATAAAAAGGGAAGAGTTAACATTAAAGTTGAAGGTTCGAAGAAATGGAAAGAGGATTCAAAATATATTTTTAAAATATTTTTTAAATAGCATGTATGAGTAAATTTGTTCTTTATCATTGTTCAAAGTATCCCAAATATTTTGAGGTTAAAATTTCAATAAATGAATTAAAAATAAGCATTAAGAATGTTTTTTAAAGAAAAGCCTAAAGCCAAGGTAAACCAGAAATTATTTATCTTTTCTTACCATTTTATTTAAACATTTCTTCATAACAAAAATCCATAAAAAAAAACCAATAATAATCAATTGATAATAGGACAAGTAATCGCACGTATTCCCAACCAAAACCAATTCCGATCAATTTATTCACAAACTGAACGAACAACGATTCCTTTTAGCCAGAAGTTTTTGCCTCGAAACTATTGTCGCTGTTGTTCACTGGTTGAAATAACAAATTTTCCAATTTATTTCTTGATTTATTTTCACGCCAATTTCTTGGCTTTCGTGTCCGCCCTCAGCAGCAGCAGCAACAAACAAACATGGCTTGACATTTGTTTATTTATTTGGCTTCATGTTTTGTCTTGTGCCATTCCTCTTCATTGTTTTCCGCAGCATCTTACCCCCTTTTTGCGTGAAATCACGAATGAATGAATGACTGCCCCGGCAAACGCCATGAATATTCATGGGCCATGCCACCAGACACAACACGAATAACCAGCACAGGACCAACATGGAGGTGGAGCAGGAGCAGGAGCAGGAGCAGGAGCAGGAAGCCTCGGAGCAAGGACTACAACATACAGCTAACTCAGCTTGCATTTCCGCTGAATGCGGCAACAATTCGCAGAACCATTTTGCTGTCCACGGAACAGGAGATGCTCAAAATACTCTAACATATGAATGGGTTTGGATTTTGCCAAGAGAAATTAATTATTTTGAGGATTTTATTGAAGAGTTCTCTTAGGAAATACTTTAAATATTAGATTCATTTTTAAGATACTGATCAGACCACTAACAATGGTAAAAACAAGCCTGTTTCTTGGGAATAAATCCTTAAAATGATCTCCAACTTGAAACTCATTTTAAACCAGATTTTAAGTTATAAATTTCAGTTTTTAAAGATTTTACCATTGGAATATAATTCCTATTAAATTTCAATATATAATAAAGAGCATTTTCTATTCGTTTTGATTTTCTTAGCATCTCTTAGTTGCTGCTGCTGCTGCTACTGCTGTTGCTCGCAGATGTTTTCTTGGCAAGATGCTGCAAATTGTTTGGCTTTTAGTTGTTGCCATTCGCTGGTGTTATTGTTATTTGCGCTATTTGCACAAGTAGGAGAGACCAAGAGAGACCAGGATAGAGAGACACTGGGAGGATTGGAGGCACTGCCTCCGAGTGGCTCGGCAGAGAGCTCGGTTGGTGGTTCCTGGTTGGTGGTGTCAGCTCCAGCCAGCATTTTGCGGCTGCATGTGCAACAGTTTCTGTTTCGCCAAAGTAGGCATCGAACAACAGGAAATTTAATTAAATGCAGCTTCTCTAGTCCCCCTCCACGGTGGCAAATGTTGCGTAAATGTTGCGAATATTTTTCTCCCAGGAACACAGACCGCAGATTTACCTTTTTGCCGTTGAACGTTCTTTCTTCCTTGCTGCTGCTGGTCACTACTTCTGCCTAAAATGGTGTTCACTGTCACTGTTACTGGCCTACTGGGTGCTTTTGGTTTAACTGCAATCAGTCCAGCACCTGCACTTGACTTTTGTTAAGGGTCCTGTACAGTGAGAGAAAGTCTAGGTAAGGAGGTAGTCAAATAAAACATGTAGGAACTATTGAGCAAAGGATGAAAGTTTTTAGAGAATTATATGCAGGTTTATTATAATATTATAATTGTAATAAGATATATTTTTCAATATTTGAGACTGTTTAGAGTATATTATTTAAAATAATACCCAGAAAGGGTATAAAATCTTCACGTGAAACACATTTAAATACAAAGAATGTGTCTTACAAAGTATTCTTTTTATTACAATGTATATTTCATTGAAATTTAAATATATTTACTGCAATATTCTTCTAGGTATACTATGTACATATATTAATTTTTATCTGCTATTGGTTATTGATGAAGACCAGAGTCTTTTAAGTAATAACTTCATAGCCAAGCCTGTTTCTCTTTTTATCAAGATCTTCTTGGTTTAAAGTAGCTCTTTGATCTATTTTATTTGCTTAAAGCTTGTTTATATATATTCCTTTCATTATTTATTTTTTTTATTATATAAACAATTAACTTATTTTTCCCACAGTGCCTTCCTCTTCATGAGAAACTTGGCAGCTGCTAGACGATTTCAGATTTGGTCACTCGTACTCAGTCTCGCTTTGATTACCCGTTTGGACAATTTGGCATTTGTGGCCCGCAAAACACGTAACCCCGGTTCCGGATTTTGATTTTGATTTCGATTCTTGTTCTAGTTCTGGTTCCAGTACTGATTGTGTTGTTCCCTCGCTCAGATTGTATTGATTTTCCTCCTCCGAACGCTAATTACTCGGAGAAGAGCTGGAGTGCGGCGGCGGGTGGAAAAGCCGGGGCGGAAAAGTCGCCTGTTAGGTGGCAGCTTGTTGGGTAATTGTGGTCAGATAACCATTTCGAAGTTTGGCTATTGTATATTTTTTGTTGTTGTTTGGGGAGTAAAATTCAAGGCTTAAATGGGTGTGAGATTTAGAGGGAATTTTGTAGAGGACTTTTTGAAATAAGAAAATATTGTATTAATACAAATTGGGGAGCATGTTTATAAATGTTATATCCATTTAAAAGTATATTATTTTCTTTAGTTTCTAACATAATTTCAATAGGGTTTCATACTTAAAATTCCTGGTAATTTGCATTTACATTTTTTAATTGATTAAAAACAAATTCAGGCCTTTACTTAACCAGTTCTTCTTTCTAAATATATAATTCCTTTGCCATTTCAATAGAAAACAAACATATTACAGCAGAGATTTTCTCCCATTCCTTTCCTATGACAAAAATAAATACCATTTCGATGTTATTTATGGCTCTTCAGTGAATCACAGTAGCTAGTCCTTTGCCTCTCAGCTTTAATCAAATCAATTTGATAACGCTAAATTAATCATATCCCTGCATTCAATGGAAAACCAAGCAGAGTACATAATTTTGGAGAGGAAAAATAAAAGAAAAAAGGAGCAGCCAGTACCACTCCATTCAAGGATGTTCGATAATGGGGCAAACACACACAAAGACAGAGAGCATAGACCATTAGGGCAATTCCGCCCCCCATTTTCCCTCCCTTCGATTTTGCATCCTTCCAAGTTTTCGGGATGAATCAAAGCTTCTCCGGGGCTCACTGCAGCTGTATAAATTTTACATTTGTTTCCTTTCAATTTAACAATGTGTACTTTCGGTATTGTTTTGCTTTTTAGCGTGTAAAAAAAAGAAACCCCTCTTTCCGTCTTCTCAATTTCTTTTTCGCCTGATTTCGCAATATTTATGATTAGCGATTTATTATTCATCATTTTCCAGTGTGCAAACACACCGCAGAGATCCCGATGATGGGCTGTAATAACTCTTGTGAAAGGAGCGCTCGGTGGTGCCCCACCATTAACTTGCACTTAATTTGATTAACAAAAGCCGATGTTTACATGCGCCGAATGCGATGGAAATCTATCATATACCGGGCCCAATGAAAACTCCAAGGATATCATATATATATATCCTTGCGAGCTGTGCTCGAGCATTTCACTGGGGAGCTTAGTTTTGCTTTTATTTATGGGATAACTGCAACAAAAGATGGGATTTTATTATGCAGATTAAATTGTATAAATAAATTA